GGCTTTCTCAGCTATTGGCCCTGTATGGCTGAATTTATTCTGTGTAAAACAAATGCTGCTCTTGCATTCACATTTTCAATCTTTTATTCTCTTCCTTCAGCTCTAACCCAAACAGAAGAGGTCAAATAAACCTGGCTGGTTTAGTTCAAGTTAACCGAGGAATAAAGGAACAGTTTTCCACTCTTTCTTAAGAGAGGGAAGCAAGGAGTGTGAATAAAATTCTGCCCACTAATGTTATGAATGAAGCTGTGTGGCACTCAAGAAGACCAGAAGGGAAGAAAAGAGTAAGCAGTGTCTCATGCCATTCATTTCAGAGGAAAAAAGGGGGGAAAATCACGTTTTGTCTGCCATTGCACAGGCTACAGCTGTCCTATTTTATCCTGAGCAATGAGACTTTAATCTGACATCTAAGGTTCTGTTCCATCAGGAGAGATATTACCTAGCAAAATAATCTCTGAAGAGGAAAAGGCAGAAAGATAGTAGCAGCTGTAAAATTAAGGATGAATGTTGAACTAAGCTGTGAACAGAAAGTATGTGTGCAACATACAGGGTGGGTTTTACCTAAATATCTAGCTCCACCAAAAGGACTGTATCTGAATCTTTAAGAATCACAGAGATGTAGTCCCATCTCCCAAGGCTATGGCTGAGAACAGATTTCAGAAGAGGGTGAAATCCCCTTTAGTCACTTCGCAAAGTAGGTCTCATCAGACACAGAGGAATTAGTGTGCCTGTGACATTTCTGGAAACCGGCTGCTGTCTGCTTGGATGAGTGATTTGTCAAAGCTGTCAAAAACTTTTGTGGTAGAAAATACAGTTCTAGATTACAGATGCAACTGGTATCAGTCATACCCATGGAAATTAATCCAGATTTTCTTCAAATATTAAAATAACATGCATTGCAGTGTAGATATAAAGGCTAACTTTTGGTCAGGAATGGAAGTCAGTGATAAATGTATTGTTCTGAAAATTTTGTTATTTATAATATAGTATTTTATTTAATTCACAAAGTTTATTTCCTGTCTGCTGGCTCAATATCAAATGTCCCAAATAAAGAGATCAACAGTAGACTTCTAGGCCCAGGGCTTGCATTACTTGTTTCTTCCACAATCCCAATAAATGATAATTCTACCATTTATTTTCTGTTACAGTGCTGAGGTCAGTCAGACTCTGGAATTTAGCATTCCTGAGCCTAGGCAAGTTCTGGACTGTGGCCCTGTATTACAAGCCTTTTGGGATTCCAGCTTTGCAGATTCTTGACATCCATGTCTTTTCTTATGAATGGATCCACTAAAAGAAGTGACCCAAATGTAATCCCTAAGCATGCAAATGTTTGTGTAAAATAATGGTCTATATACAACTTTCAGATCAAGCTAGTTGGCATCCATCTGCTCACAGTTCAGTAGAGTGTAGGGTATATACAGGAGTTCAGTGTTTCTGTAAGGACCAAGATGTATTTAATTTGAGTATCTGGTCTTTTAAATTGATACCCTACCTTCTGCATCATAGATGCTAAGAGGGAAGCATCTTGTAAATATACACAAGTGTGCATCTTATAAGCAATTGTTATCAGCAATGAAGAATTAATAAGCATGATTTTGACTGACTGGGTGTAAAGACCCTGTTGCTGTGAATTATGTTGCTGTTGCAATTTCTCACCAGTCAGTTAAAAAAGCAGTCCTTGTTTTCATAGAATCATAGAATGTTTTGGGTTGGAAGGGACCCCTAGAGGTCATCTGGTCCAACCCCCCTGCAGTGAGCAGGGACACCGCTAACTAGATCAGGTTGCTCAGAGCCCCGTCCAACCTGGTCTTGAATGTTTCCAGGGATGGGGCCTCCCCTACCATTCTGGGCAACCTGTTCCAGTGTTTAACTACCCTCATTGTAAAGAATTTCTTCCTTATATCCAGTTTTCTGTTCACTGAAAGTAGTGACTTACATTTTTAGCTGACAATTCTCTAAAAGCGGTTAAGTTATAAATCCAGCTAAATAATCCCACAGAGTTGGGGCTGCAGACTTCACAGAATGGTTGAGGTTGGAAGGGACCTCAGGAGGTCTCCTGGTCCGGTCTCCTACTCAAGCAGGGCCACCTAGAGCCAGTTGCGCAGGGCTGTGTCCAGATGGCTTTCCAAGGATAGAGAAACCATCACCTCCGTGGGCAATCTGTGCCAGTGCTTGGTCACCCTCACAGTAAAAAACTGTTTCCTGATGTTCGGACAGAACCCCCTGTGTTTCAGTCTGTGCACATTGCCTCTGGTCCCATCACCGGGCATCACTGAAAAGAGCCCGGCTCTATTTTTCACCCTCTCTTCAGGTATTCATATTCAGTCTGCGCACATTGCCTCTGGTCCCATCACCGGGCATCATTGAAAAGAGCCCGGCTCTATCTATTTTTCACCCTCTCTTCAGGTATTCATATACATTAAGATCCCCCCTGAGCCTTATCTTACAGAGTTACATTGATGTGACATCAGGTGGTGTTTGTGGCTTCCATCTCTTTAGTATAGAAATGTATTAACATTTCAGTGTGAAGAGTGACAGCCATCAGCACAAAAAGAACATCGTCCCTGGGTTTGGGCTGTATACATGCACACGTATCTACTTAACAGAAAAGAAGAATTGAAGTGCTCATCCACCGTATAATCCCAGAGGATCCCTCAACATATTTATGGACATCATCCCTGGGTTTGGGCTGTATACATGCACATGTATCTACTTAACAGAAAAGAATTGAAGTGCTCATCCACTGTATAATCCCAGAGGATCCCTCAACATATTTATGCTCTTCAGTGTTTGTATGTGTGAGGGTGCCCTTCTTTTACTGAAAGGCTGATTGAATATCTGGACTGACTAGGGTAATCCATGAAAGTAGTCTTTTATGGCAGACACTGTCATCGTTGCAATTAATGTAATAATAGTAGTAGTAGGCAAGGAAAGAAGAATACCATGGACAAAGATGTAATTACTAGAATTAAAGGGAGGACAACAGGGTTTTTTTGCAGCTGCTTTCCAGATCTGAAATGGAAAGTTTTTGTTCCACACTGGAATGAAAGCGTAACCATGAAAATATTTCCACAAGTGCAGCCTTCCCTCAAATACCCATGCAGAGCCCGAAACCTTAGTCTTCTGAATCTTAAGTAGGTTTTTGGCTAATAGTGTAACTATCCCACATTTGATTTCCTGCTTGAGTGAGATCAGATGTTGTTTCAAGCTAATGCCTCCTGTGATCTCGGCTGATGTTGAAAGTGAATATAAGGAGGGAAAAAAATTCCCTGCAATATGACAGCAAAGACACACTCCTTTCCATCTAGTCTTTTGGTACTATTTTGAATTTACCATACTTAAACATTTCGTATTTTGTCCTGTGCTTCTCCCCAGAGTAAATCTTCTCTTGACCCTACTTTGAAAGTGCTACCATGGCTATCCTGTGTCATCTCTGGCAGCCAGCTCGCACCCCTTTCTCCTGAACATCTCTGGCATGCTCAAAAGAAGATATGCCCACAGACTAGGAAACATTGCCAAATCAGGAATAGATACAGACATAAATGAGTAGAGCTAAACACAGCTCAAAGGAAAGTGGTTACCAGTTTAATTTTGTGTCTAACATTTTCCCGTAGGTTAAAAAATCATTTAACTGATTATGAAGACAGCATACCGTTAATGACTAATACAAGATTTTTTTTTCTCTTAGTGTACAGGTCATTTATCACTACTCATATCCAAATTTTACATAGTTACGAAGACATAGATAGGCACAATATAACTCATTCATGACAAATTAATACTAGGTATTGTAAATTAGTAAAGCTGTCCTGCAAAGATCCTTCCCTCATCTTTTATACATGTATTTAGGCAGCATCAGAGGAAATGGCAGGTAGCACAATCAAGTGACACTGGTGCTTTGCACATAACGTAACATATGTTCTTTTATGGCAGATGGATCACTTACTGCCTTGCTCTAATGAAAAAACACATTGCTGGGATAATAAACTATTTCAGCTGGCTTCAGCTTTTTACTCACAAGCAGCATCCACCTTTGCGTACAGTGATCCTGGGGAAATTTTGTGTAGAGTTTGTATGTACGGATGCCCTCACTAAACTGCCACCATGATGTCTGGGTTGGGATGCTACAGAAAAAGAGGGAATGATCTGGGCTTAGCTTCACGTGACTCAAGTGTCATTTAAATTAAAAGAGGTAGGACATGCCTGCTCATTTTTCCCATACCAGGCTTTACAAGCTTCACTTAGCCTGAGGAGTGGAGTTCTGGGATTATCTCCTTCCATCTCTCTTGCTTCATTGCATCTTTATCATAGCAAAACCTGTAGCTGCTATTTGATGATTATCACCTCACTGAGACCACATGCTCCGTGTGAAATGTCTGTTCTCTTTTCAGTTATCAGAATGAGAGTTAAAGAATTATACAGAAGACAGCTAAGCCCAGATCACTGTTTTTTTTCTATATAAGCTATTGCAAAATCCATAGGAAGAGCCTTCCTGTCTGATTTGCCAGCAGTTTCTTTTCCTTTAATGAGAAATAAGTGCATAAAGCAGAGTTACACTAGCAACTTACGACCTTCTTGCAATAAAAATAAAAATTAGAGGCTGAGATGCAGCTATTAATTTATATACCAAACTGCAAAGAGACATTAAAAGAATTGGTTATAACTCTTCATCCCAAGTCATAGCTGGCTTAATAAAGTCATAGCTGGATTGATAAAATACAGCTCAAAGTTGCTGCACCTTTTCCATCACTTTCAGATACTCAGATAACTAATTTCAAAGTGTTTGTTTTCTCGTCTTGTTTTCCAAATGGATGTGATAGTCTTTCTATGTTATTCAAATTGTACATATAAATTCCTTATGAAATCTGATATACCAAAGCTGCTTGGTAAGAGTTCAAAATGATAGCAGACACAGAGACGTTAACTAAAATATTTTAAAATGTTAGGTTTCCTAGTGCAGCTTCACCTCGTAGAGGCTATGGTCATTTCACTGTTGCTGGTTACAGTTCTGTCTGAATGAGGCGCAGAGCTTTCTTCATGTTCTCTATTACTGAAGGAAAAATAAATAAAAACTGTAAAAAAGTACTTAAAGCACATTTGTACAACTAAAAAGCCCACCTAGTTTGATTAGCAAATTGTTCACATTGAAATTAATTTATGATCACACGTTATATTTTAGAGCTTCATACTGTGAAAATTCTCACATTGATACCAATACAGATATTCAGTCAGAAGGTAAAAAGTTTTGTGAATCCTAATGTTTAACTTAAAGGGAATTGAGAAAGCTCCTTTCAACTCCCTCAATTCTCAACAGCAAGCCTGGTAATCAGATGTGAGGTGCATATTTGTGGTGAGATACTGCATTGGTGTCAAATAGATGGTATATCGAAAGGACTAGCTCAACCTGAAAAATCACATTCCTTTCTGAAATCTGGGTGTTAGGTGGTACCCAGGTAACCACCAGCATTTCTTTCCTGATTCCCTCCCACTACCGGCCGTTTACATTGTGCAGCTGGATACCTTTGAGCTTTCACCAGTCTCCAACAAACTGCTCTGATCTTGATCCTGAAAGTTCTCACCCATGATCTTTCAACTTGTCTTACCTGAGTAGCCCCAATAAATTCAGTGGGACAATAGGTGTGCTTAAGTGTTTTGCTAGAACTTAGACTATTATAATTTATTGCAAATGCTCACTCACCATCCTTATTCATTACTTTGAGATCTTAACAGGTTCTCAAGCACAAATGATTGTGATGGGGTGCACCTGGCTGCTTACAATGTGAATTGCAAAGTAACACAGTGAAGGGGGCACTTACAGAATGGTATGTCTTGTGGTTCGTACGTGTAAAGCCGGTTGGAGTATCTTCCTGTGATATCAGCTCTTACGGTGAGAGACGGGTCTGAAAAAGTAATCCTGTTAAACACTGCTTTCCATTCCCACAACATCTGAGGGCGATGTGAGTGGCGCTACTTTGGAAGCCCCGTTTCTGAGGTGTTCTGGTTTCACCAGTGAGGCAATTACAAGGCCCTTACGTTCTGTTCCAACCCGCTGCTCTTGGAGAAATCCTGAACAAAAGCTAATGCTCATTTTTATATTATGCAGCTATTTTTAAGTGATAGATTACACATGCATTTCATTCATATTTAAAGAAAAATATCCTGGTTTACAAGTTCTAGGGTTACATCAGGCCAGTTTGACTGGATGCACACATAGTGAGGGTCATGTCTACATAGGGCAATATTAGCATGACCTAGAGCCATCAGACCGAAAATCTTGTGATTCTTAATGTTTCCGTCATAGGAGCATGTTGTTGTGGAAATCTCCCAATTCCCCTTCCAAACTTTTTGTTAACTGACTCATTACTACATTGCTCTCTGTCCGAGTGTGGGCTTCATCTCACCTAACTTTGGGTGCCACCACAGAGCTAGTCACACTATGCTTCCTGTACAGTCAGTGAAAAGGAACAGGCACTCTGGGGCATGATTCGTTCCATCTTCTAAAAAGAAGTCAGCTTTACGATGCAACTACGACGACAACTACATTCAGTCAGGTATTTGACTATTTTCAGTAAACTTTGTCTTACAACAGCACTAGCAAGAAGCATGGAGAGCAAAAGCCTAGATGCTGTTGGACATTCCAGCATCTTGCTTCCAAGGACAAATTAGGTACCCACCAGAACATATCTGTAACCTGAGGAAGTTTATGACAGTCAAAGCCTGTGATGGAGGGCGAACTGAACTCAGATCTGCCAAGTTCTGGACTAATGCCGTGGTAATGATAAATCATGAGCTATTTTCTTTTTGCAAAATGAATAATTTTGATGTCCCCAGAGGAGGATGCTGGCATAGATTCAGATATTACATCTTTGAAGATACATAAATATGGCACATACCTATAAACATGATTCGAGGCACATATTGTCCATCAGGTGACAGGTTTTTATCTGTGGTTTCATGCTGGCAGAGAAATTAAAGCTAATTATTAAAATATTTCTGTAAATTTTGGTGAAGTAGTACCACCTGTGAATAGTCTTGTACCAGAGGACAAAACCAAAGCAGGTACTACTCGTGTGTGTATACACATGCACAAATGCCTGTACATACATGTTACTGAAATGACAGAGATATTTAGCTAAAATGACATGTAAAAGCAAGACAAAGAAAGAGGAAACACAAGCCAAAAAAAGATACAAGTCAAACCTCCCCAAACCCTCCATACCATGAGATTCAGCATAACGAAGTTATTTTGGGCCATTTCCTGTATCTCTTCATTTTCTGCAAAAGCTTTCTTCAGTGCTAGAAAAGAGACGGTCATTTTGAAGTCCATCTCAAATACCGCCTTTCCTTCGGCATTTAGGCACCGCGTTGGCTGGAGACTGGCCACATTGTTCCTGTCTCTGCTGATTCACATTCCTGAGGAGACACTTAAGGGCTCTATCACTGTTTTTTGTTTTTTTGACCCATGTCAGTACAACCTCCCGGCTATGAAAATGGAAGCTCTCTTCTGTTATTTATGAAGCCTGTCTCAATGGATACCATGTCTCAGCTTGACAAAAGTGCCTTATTCTCAGAAAATTCTTATTAGATCGATGTCAGCAGCCCTGTCCTCATCTCCTTCTCTAGTTACCAGTTCAGGAGAGCCAAACAATATTAAATCTGTTCAATGAGTCAGTGGCAAATCTGTGTCTCTTAATTTAAACTGACGAGTGCTGCATTAGGGATAGCAGGAGAGCAGCACTGAGTATTTTTCATGTTCTTTGTTGGGTAGTTTCATAGTGGAGTTTTTGTAAAGAACAGTAATAAATTCTTAGCTTTTCAAATACATTTTCATTTGCCTATTTCTTTAAATAATTTTTAGCAAGTACAAGGTAAATATATAGATAGGTGTAGTTTCTTATAAAAATATTCACAAAATTTTAACAGTCAAAAAATTACCTTGGCAGTATTGACAGTCTTCCAAATGATGAATTACCATCAGTGGCTTGTTACTTTATTAATAATAATAAAACATGTAGTTAGATCATTTGACAAGTATGCAAATGGGTGATTTTACTAGCAGACTGGAAAAGGCAAATTAAGTTTCATCTTGTGTTAACCCACAGTAGAACCACATAGACATTCTCTAAAGAGTCACAGACATTTTTGAGCAAGGGAAAAGAACATAACTCCTTCATAAAAGAAAGAAAGAGAGAAATAGACTTTCTATATCTAAATAGGTTTTCTAAAGTAAGAAATTATAGAAGAAACAAACAACAGAGCCATTTCATTTCCAGTTAGTATATAATCAAACTGAAAATGTATTTAATATTGTTTCAGTGTGAAGTTCTCCCTGTTTAAGAAAATAAAAATAATCCATATGAGCTGGAATAAAATATTTTTTATAAAATTTGGTTTACCATCAAGTACTTCCCATGAAAATTTTCTCTTTTTTTAGCTTTCTTGAGCAGATATACAGTAAATTATTTATTTTCTGTAAATAGTTTGGTAAAGTATCAAAATTTTCTATTTTTGAATGTCAAACCATAAAACAATTCTGTTCATTTTCTCCTGTATTTTTTTAAAGTACTGTTACTGTTCAGTTAATCAGTTACTAATGCTTGATCTGCTATCACTGCCAAGAGTTGTTCAGTTCCTAGCCATTTTCACATAGGGTACATGAAATTAGTTGCCTTTTATTTTAAAAATAATTTGCCTTCAATTTAACAACTGCTTATGCTACACTATTATTATCTAAAATGAACTGTAATAGAGATTTAAATGAGTATTGTTATGAATCCTCAAATACATTTTCAGCTGACTCATGGAGAAGATTCCGATCGGAACCTTCTACCAGGATAGTGAGAAACTGAGAGCACATCATGCACATTCGCCAACTAACAAAGTCTTGGGGAAGGCATCAGAAGCAGTAGATCACCATGCAGGAGCAAATGTAACTGATTTCCAGCTGTTGATCAAGAAAGTAATCAGAGGAATAATGACACATATACATATAAAAAGATGTATTTTAAAAATTATAATACCTATTTATCACTGCTTATTCAAATGATCACACTGGTGTTGTGACAAAGAAACAACAGTGTTAAACGTGGGGCTGCCTATCGGCCCGTGATGTTGCTTCACAGTCATAAGACCCCTGCAACAGCTTTTATTTATAGACACTAAATCTGTTTTATTTAACTGGGTGGTCTGCAGATCAGCTGTTGTGGTGTTTCTTTGTTTTGTTTCATTACAGTACATTCAGGCTTGACTGTCTGATTAACAACTTTGTCTTTTAATCTCTTACCTTTTTTTTGCTTGATAAAGCCCTTCTTCGTAAGTTTGTACCCAGGTAATTTCATCTCCCCACCCTAGAAATACAATAAAAGGATTAACTGGTGGCCAGGTAACTCAACAAATTAAATTTTTATATTTATCGAGAGTTGTACACAAATAGGTTTGGGGTTTTTTTCAGCCAAAGTTTCCCAAATGTTGTGGAAATACTAATTCTACATCTCCTGATAGGTGCACCGGAAGATTAAAAAACACCCAACAAAACAAACCTCAAAAAACCTCAGCTGGTTGAGTATCCAGTTCAAGTCCTCTAGCAAACCTACTAGATCCCTTTCTGAATACTCAGAGGTCCCTAAATCAGCACCCAAATCCTTTATATCTTTATATTGTCTGCTTCATGTTTCATGTAGACCCTGGGGCTTAAAGAGAAGGTTGGCTTATAAAGTCAGAAAGAAAAATAAAATATGACAGCTCAAACAAGATTGACTTTAATATGAACATTGTTAGAATAGTCTTGGGTTTTAAATTTCACTCTCAAGCTATGAATTTTAATCCCTGGTGTTGCAAGTACTTATAATTTAGTAAAAGAATGGCTCCACCTAAGTAAAATCTTAATCAATCATCAGCTTCATAGCTCATCCATAGCTGGTGATACACCAATCTCAAAAAGCAGATTCTCCAGTTGGTTTCATGCCTTCAGATCCCCAAGATGCCAGCCCTTGTGTAGTAGATCCCTGCCTCCCAGGCAGTGTTGCTCCATTCATGATGGCCCTTGTGGGAATTGTAGAACAGCTTCTGGATCTGGACCAGGTTAAGGCTCCGTTTCTTCTGTGCTGTCTGGACCATGCTTGGACCAGCCCTGGTTATGCAGAGGCTTGCTGTTAGCTTTCTCACAGGACAACTGCTTGTGACGCTGCTAGGTCAATCTCTTCTTTCAGGAGAGTGATTTTGATTACAGATCTGTCTGGCTGGTGGTGGGGTTCTGGCGTGTTGACTAGTGTGCTCCCAGGCCTGGCTGAAGTCAACTGCTGACGTAGGTAACTGCACAGAGGAGTCAGCCAGGGTCATTTTGCAGCAGGTTTAAGTGTTCCCCTTTGATCTGTGAAAATTACAGGTAAAGCGCTCAAGGCATCCCAAAAGGCCTGGAATCAGAATTAGAAAACTGATGCTCCCTGTGACTATTTTTTTCAAAATTGCCAGAATTGAGGGGATTTTGTCATCTTTTATGCATTTAAGCTTAGTGGGAAATATAAATCCTGATTTAGGCAAGATAGGCAATAGATACCATTATAACCTTTCTTCAGGGATACCACTTAGGAGGAGTGATTTGCAATTTCTCTTTGGTTAGTCCAGGTGTTGCATGATTTTGTCAAGTGCTCCCTGAGCAATTAGGCTTGGATGGGACCCCTGTGACCGGCAGGGCTTTGCCAGTGCGTTTTATGGGAAGATCTCAGGGGTGAGCTGTGGGGTCTGCAGGCTTTGCACAGCTTGCAGAAGAGGTCAGGGAAGGAGCTGGAGATTTCGGGGGGGGTTAATAGGCCCCCAGGGAGAGGGAAGATGGAGAAGAGGAAAAGACCTTGATAAGGTATTTCTCTGCTCGTATTTCTAAGGATTGATCAAGCATAAATAACTTAAACCCGGGTCTCTAGTTAACATCCAGGTCGAAAATTATGCACCATAAGGAAGTGAATCATTCACTGCAAAGCATGAAAAAAAAAGTTACACAGAAAATCGCACCAGTAGCTCAAACTGTTGTTCTAGGTATAAAAATGGGTCTGTAAAAAAATTATTCCATAGCAATCGGAGTTATGAAACTGTGTTTCAGTAGTTAATAAGTCACCGTAACAAAACATCTCGTAACTGGTATATGAAAGAATATTTTTTCACTGATAGTTCTACAAATGCATCCCAGTTTGAGAAGACTCAGTTTAGGTTATTGGCTTCTACTAGGCCACCGTGAGTTATACAAATTATGCAGGTTATATGAGGCCCTCAGCCATATCCTTAGGAACAAACTGATGGAGTGAAATGACATGGAATAAGACACCCTACTTTGAGTGCCACTTAACACTAGAGGAACACACCTTGGTAAGTACGTATGTGCTTTCAGGTATGTTCTAAATAAAAATATTTGCTGATTTACTTACACAGGGAGATGAGGAAGTAACTACATAAACTCGATATACAGTACCTCTTGACAGTGTCTGAGGTGCTCTTTTTTCCTTTTTGATTGCCATCGCAAGGTTGGAAGAGACTGCAATTAGCAGGAGGGACAAGGCCAATGTTGAATGGAGCATTATTTCTTTGAGAAGAGCCCTTTCAACGCAGCAAGGAAACTGGAAAACAAAGCAACAGCTTTCGTCGCGTGAATTTGTCACCTGGTGCAGTGTAAATCAATGTCTTAGTGGTATCCTAACAATCTATACTACAGAAGTAGTTTTGGTTATTTCTATAAATGCCTTTTGAGAAAAGTACAAAAATGGAGGTGCTGGATTTTATCACACAGCACTGCTTTCAGCTGTCAAAATTAGGCTGCAGGGGAACAGTGTGGTCTGGGGAATGAAGCTCATTTCAATTTGTTTCTGGTCACCTAACTTTTGTTTCTTACAAACTAGTACAACGCTATAATACTGGATCATGAAAATTTCAAGACAGTGCTACTAGTTGTTCATTCTGTTAGTTTTTTAACTTCAGTGAAATGTAACGGCATGGGATCTTTTTCATGGATAGTAGGTTTTTTGATCAAAAGATGTCTCATAATATCCTCCTTAATAAAATAGGAAAATTGACAAGGATTTGTCCTCAGGTATAACACATTTTAAATTGGCAAATCCCTCCAGAATGTTGAAATTGCCATGATTTTTTTATCCTGCACTCTGTGAACCAGGGTGCTAAAGATTGTGAGATAAATGTAAAAGAAATTTCCAGCTGTTTCTCACAATGAAAACTCAAAAAGTTTCCCCATCCTTCATGGCATTTTAAAGATGAGTTTTAGCTCAAGTCCTGCTTAATGAGGCAATCCATCTGTGCTCCTGGCTATTTCAGTATTCTGAAGTTGTTTGCTTCTCTTCCTGACAGATCATTAGAAGAAATTCAGTAACTTCTGGTCTTGATAAAAGTCAGAGGAGAAAGTGACTGTTCAGGAAAGGCATTACAAAGCTACGTTTTTTTAACTGGTGTCTTCTTTCTGCCCTGTACAATCATCTTTAGCCATTAAAGCTCAGAAATTCAAGTGGATACCTGATAATTTAAACTAAGTTAAAAACTATAATGCGTGCAACCCAGGATACCACCCAGTCTGCTTACCAGTTCTCACTGGAGATTCCACTTTTCAGAGACTGAGCTTTAGGATTTACCAGGATGACCTGCTGAGAAAGTGCTTTAACCTAACTAATCCCCTAAAGCACTTGTGCCTGTATTGATAAAGAAAATTTCAAACTTGAATTTAAAAGTGATATCCAATATGGAATTACAATCCTGAGCACCGGCAAAAGAAGTTGTTTTGTGCTTCTTAAGACAGAGAGGCATGAAAAGTGCAGCAGCTTTTATCCTTACTTTAATAAATTCCTCAGAATTACTAACATTACTCTTAGGAGTTCAATTTCTGGTGAACAAATTCAAATACCACTTCCAGTAGCTGGCAATCTCAACACAAGAGAATTATTCTATTCAAGTGACTAGAGAAAAATTTGCACGGTAAAATGTGCACAATTTTAAGAAAAATGAAGTATCATCTTATAGTAAGAATTCTATAGTTCTGAAGGTTGCTAAAATAATTAATACATCCATTATAATATTTTTCTCCTCAGTCTTGTCCAAATCAGTTCCTTTTTTACCACATGGCATCACAACCCTAGAGTTCTTCTTTGTTTCACATACTTTCCTCCTCAGGCTCATTCACGTTAGTTATTGTTGACTGTGTTTTACAAGGGAGTCTCCTTCTGAGCTTATTAATTATGCACATTAATTTGATGATTGGAGATTATGGATGTTTAATAAGAAAATGTGAAGTTTCCCAGTGTTTTCTAAGGAGACACTATAACTTTTACTTAAGTCTGGGGCATGAGAATTTTTTGGTCATAAGAATTCCATTCAAATTTTCCCCATGTTTGTGCAGACCACTAACTTCAGTCAGCAAAAGCAGATAATTACAACCTACTACTATACTCCTGTCAAGTAAGTATCTGTAGCTAATCTATGTGGAAGCTAATAACTATCTTTAGTATCATTTTACCTATTAGATGTTAACCATAAAATCTAGCATTTTTATTAAGATGTTAAAATGATATTTAAACGTAAATAGTGATGGCTTTGAAATTGCACCAGATAATGTATCTATAAAGCAGGTATGGAATGTGTGAATCAGTTCTTTCTTTCATGATGTATTCATGAAAAAAAACCAAAATGTAAATCTCTTCAAGTCGCATAGTGAATTATCTGAAGCTTAAATAATTGATTATCATCCTATTGAAAACCAATAGTGTTTTGGAAGGATAATTTATGGAGCTGTAGCTGCAGGCAGTTTAAGCTCAATATTCTGAATTTTTGATGTTACATGATCCAACGTTAGTTAATCGATTAAGAGAAAAAATGACAGCTAACACCATATAAATTGCCTTCATCTCTGTCAGAACAAATGTTTTACTAGCTAATCTCTAAGCATCTATCATTTGTCTTTTTCATATAACTAGGCTTGTAGTGCATTTGTCAACCAGACATCATTGCTGTATTAAAGGAAAGTTAAGAATGAGAAATGTTTGCTCACCGGCAGTGATCAATTCTCCTGATGGAGGGTCCTTTTTCTGGAACTGGTTACTTAAAAATCAGTGTGGTTTAAGCACAGAACACCTGAGCTGCCCAGGTCTCTGTGTAGCAACAACAGCACATTCACCTGGGAAAAAACAAGAGGGACCTTTTAGCTTAAACCAAATTCACATGTTTCCACCCTCCCCCTTCCTTTTCTGCCATCCTTCCAACTTTCGCTCTTGTGAGTTCCCATGCTTACACACTGAATCCTTGGATTTCTCTTCATCTCGGCTTGTATCAGGTGTCTTGTATGAGGATTGGAAATAAATAGTGGCTTATGTGCGCCTGCTACTTCCCCCCTCGAACAGTTTGAGTCTGGATTATGTCCAGTGAAAAAAGAAACCACCAATGAAAGCTGGAACTGTAGGTGCCTTTGTTCCCAGTGAATGGCTGGGTTCACTGGAGCTTGACGATAGGTATGAACCTGACAGGAAGACACAAGGGTTACTTTGTGTGGAGAAATGTAATTAAGAAATAAAAGGAACCTTATTTTTTTGAGGGGGAAATACAATTATTTGTTTGCAGAATATAGTTTAAAGTATCTGATTATTGCTTCTCTGAGTTGTAGTTTAAAAATGGTCTGATTCTTTGGACATGATGCTCAATGCAATTTTGACCTAACTTGACTAATACAGGAAAAGTCCTTTATTCAGAGTATTTGCACGAAGAAGGAATTAGCTGGATCACTTTTTCCCTTCTCCTTGGATATCTTTTGCAAGGGAATCAGTAGCAATCTTCTTTTTGTTCTTCCTCTTCCATGTAATTGTTTATATGGACTGTATGGTTACACTTTTTCCTCCTCCTTTTTACGTAAAGTCTGAATTCTTATTTGTCTTTGATGGTTGGATCTAGTGATGGTTTTTGTCACTGGCATGTATATGATTAGTGATGTATGGTTCTTGTATTATGTAATACCAACTATTTTTGTACCAAAAAAAGTGCAAAATGTGACTTTCTGTATTTTTAGTGCTGAGTTATCTTTAACATTTGTAATGGAGATTTCAAAATTGTATTTCCACTTAAAAAAGTATAGTAACTGTATTTAAATCCATAATATGCTTAGACCTTGGAATGGCTGAAAAGGCAAAGAATGTAGTTTGGTTATGAAAGAATTGTAGGCAGATACTTAAATCAATGTGCTGTATTGCATTTCTTTAAATTTTAAGCAAATAAAAAAGACTATCTGAAGTCAAACAGAGGGTGATTTAAAGAACCTCCCTCCATCCATGCTTTGGGTTTTTACATAGAAATTGCAGGCACTGAAGCTTCAATTCTTCTTACTCTTCAAATAATTACAGATCATTAAATAATTAGAAATACAGAAATTTTCCAAGTATACCAAAGTGTATTGCTGCTCAACCCTGAGGTCTTGTGTTCTTCAGCCCTGAGATACTGTTCTTCACCACATAGGTTTTTTAATGTAGGGAATGAAGGGGTAGACATTCAATTAAATAGATTAAAATTAGTCCTGAGTTACCTGTGAGCGCCCTTATTTGACAGGACAATGTTCAGCAATTCATCTTCTGTGCTCTGTATTTGAAGACCAGGATTTCAGCCTTTGTCAATCTTGCCATGGAGAGGTTGGCAGTCCTGGTCAAATAGACATTGTCAAGGTTTAATACTGGAAGAAAATTACTGTAATGCTTTATAAATCTTTATAAATCCAAGATGGATGCCTTCACTATACCTATTCAGTCACTGCTTGTTAGGTGGGACCTTGTCAGCTCTGTCCCTGCTTTCTTCTGCATGTGTTCAGCATCCACACGTGAACCAAGAGTGAAGCTAGTGCTCGTGCTAGCAGAGCTGCCTTCCATCCCAGCTGCCCGCTGCACTACCTGGCATTCAAATCACCAACCTGTGCAGCAGCAGTTAACCAGCCAAATATTGAATCTCTGCACTGAGACCACGTTTCTGAACTCATTCATTGAACCAGAGCGCTCTTGTTCATTGAACTCTGCTCACTTAGTCTCCAGGGCAATGTGGGCGGGAGGTGTTTCCAATTTTCTCTTCCATTCTAAAAGAGTAATTTTGGAGGTGTGAGTAACTATGGTTTAACGGTGTATATACAGTTGTGACCAGGTCAACATTAGGAAATGTAAGAATTAGCTAAATAAATTGGAGAAAAACTGACACTTGGAATCGCACACTGCTGCTTTCATGTGAGTCCTGCAGCAGCAGATTTAGGTATGTATCAGCCCATTTATGAAATGCAAAACTGAATTTTGCTTTACATAGTGCTGCACCAATGCAAATTCAGGAAAAACCCCTAACCCCGCTGTATTGATCAATTCCCCGATCTCTCCCTTTCTGTGGCCTCACGAGTGTTTGTTCCAGCACAAGGCAGGGGATACCCTGATGTGAGGAGCAACAGGCTGATCAGAGTGTAACAGGACACCCCCATGTGACATTGCTCGCACTTATGCTTAAGTTTAAATTAGAGTGATGATGGACCAACTGCATAAGAGAAATACAATTTATTCATATAAAATCT